ATCATACACTACAAACCCTCAAAATTTCAAAATTTTACATTTATTAGTTCAAAAGTTGCAAAAGTTTTCCTTAACTTAAAAATAGTTTTCCGCTCAAAATGGGCAATGTTTCTACATTCAGACGTAAATATCTCGCAAACGGTAAAAAAAAGTGCAAGATAGCTCAATTTTGAGGTCTTTTTGGCGGGTATATATAATATATATATATATATATATATATATATATATATATATATATATATATATATATCCCGTTGGACCTTCAGAACCCCACCACCTCCCACCCCCTAGGACTAGGTTGTTAGTTTCATATGTGTAAAAATTGACTATTACCGTGTGTGTGAACTTTGAGACTCTTAAATATTATTACATGATAGTACTATCAGTGCAGTGATATTCCGTAGTGAAAACCCCCCCTCCGATGACGCCCCCTTTGCGTTTTTTTTTTAACTTGGACTAATTAATTAGCAAGATGGCCACTACTACTTCTAAGGGCCGGTTTTTTGATCCGTAGTCAAAGTTACGTTGACTATTTGTTAAACTGACCAAAGGTTAGAAGCTAACCACTAGTTAAAGCAAGAGTTTGTTTTTTGATCTCTTTTTGACTATTGGTAATGTTAACCATTGGTTAAATATGTTGCCATTGTAATGAGTGTTAAATGACCCCAATTTCAGTAGGGAGTAATTATTTTTGCATGGCAAGACTGTCTACGCCTGACGCATTTGACGTTTATCGTACTTGTTATTAGTGTCAAAGTTGTCAATGTCATTATTTTGTAATAAAGATTCTTTATCACAAAAAAAACGGTACTTAATTAAATCGTGATTTGTGCCTCGTGGTATTTTTAACATCGTGACGAAAAAGTACAGAATATATAGCAAATTCGAATATGATGGCATCGCAAAAAACAGGAACTAGCAAGTAAGTCTTAACATTTGTTTTATTGTAATGCTATAATCAGGAGAGTAGTAAACAAAAAGTATTAAGTAATTTTCTTTAACCCTATGTTTCAGAGATCGTACAACCAATTTTAGTAAAGAAGAGACTGTAAAACTGACATGCCTCCTCAAGGATTATTCGATAATTACAAGCAAAAGAACTGATCACGCGAGTAACCAGCAAAAAGATGCAGCGTGGCGATCTCTAGCAGAAAAGTTTAATTCGGACGCTGTTGTTTACAGAAATGTTAAGCAACTACAACAAAAATTTAACAATATGAAAAAAATAGCCAGAAAAGTAAGTTGCCTTTATCTTCAAAATAAGCTAAAAGATGGAATTTAATTATGCTTAGGTACTATAATTATTATGCTTTATTTACAGGAAATGAGTGCAGAGAAAAATGGTAGGAAACAAACTGGAGGTGGACCACCACCCCCTAAACCATCAGAGACAACAGAATGGTTAAACACCATTATGGGCGAGTCAATTTCTGGCTTACCCGCTATATATGACAGTGATGCTTTAGGTATGATGTACCTACTTCTCTTATTGTTTTTGAGATTATATTATGATAATAACATTATAATTGTTTTGAGTGTTTGTCTATTGCATTGATGCAACTATACTACGACATAAGCTCCTGGAAAAATATAGACTCAACATCATACCAATTTTCAGTCCTGGCTTTTCAGTTTTGATAGTTTATTAGATAATAATGTGGATTTGGATATAGCAGATTATTTTAAAATGACATAAAAACAATACATTTCAATCATGAACAACAATTAACTCATTAAATAATACCTTTGTTTTACAGTTGATGGTGACACAACGCTTGAAATGTCAAACACAGCAGAATGCACCATATCTCTAGATTTAATGGAAAACGAAATGTCCGATGCAGGTGAGGTTAAATGTATTTAATATAAATATATTGCATATTATTTTCAGAATATTAACTATATTTTTATTTTAGGTGGTACTGCAAATACTTCCTTAAATGAGTGCAACAATTTGTTAAACACAGAAGTATTGGATGATATTGAGACAGGTTTGTTTATTACTTATTAACTTGGTACTTATCTATGGATTTATGTATCAGAATCTTTGAATGTCCTGATCAGGACCTTCAGGATTACTAGCATGAACTTTTTTAACTATTACAATTTATTGTTATTAGTGTTCATCACAAGTTTTGCTTGGGGATACCTAACATTATTTCTATCCATGCCTTTCAGATGCAGACTCAAAAAAGGTTGATATAACGTTTGACAACTCTACACCAAAGGCTTTGCTCAGGAAACCAATTTCAAAGCAATTATGTAAGTATCAAATACTAGCAGCTGTACCACATCATACTGAGGGTCTCGAGTTCAATCCCAACCGAGGCAGATAATTGTTTTGTACTCGGGTCCAGGTTATATGTACATGGCTACCACCCTCACACACAGTGAAACACAGGGAATCCTAGTGTCCCCTGCACTGTGTGAATGGAAACATTCATAATAATTATTATTATAAACAGAGATGAATTAATTTATAAAATCACAAGGTCAAAATTAAATCAATCATAATTGATTTGATCTGTAATTTGTGAAAAATTTCTTTGCTTATCTTATTTTATGTTTGTATAAAAAGTAGCCCATTGTGTCTATTATTAATAAATATTAAAAGTTTATTCCATTTATAAAGTTTCATAAAATTTATTGCAATATAAAGCATAGGTACAGTATAAAAATAAAAGTATAACATTGTCTCTAAAAGGGTTTAGCAAAAATGGGACTGATGTAATTTGATTTTAAATAACATTCTTTTCATAGTTTCTTTGTTTACAGCGAGTCCTCACAACAAAAGAAAGAAATGTTATACTCCTTTTGAAGCCAGAAAACGTATCGTAACTCATTTTGAAGAGAAAAAAGAGTTTTTAACCGAAAAAAAGAGCAGGGAAGAGCAAATAAAAAAATATGCACAAGAAGAGCACCAGCAAAATATTACACATAAAGCAGATAAATATAAAAGAGAAATAGAATTCATGGAACAAAAGCACGCTTTGTACATGGAACAACAAAAGGAAATGCATGAGCTCGAAGTAGTATTTAAGAAAAATATACAAGAATTACTTTTGGAAAAAGTTAAATTAGAAATTTTAAAAATTAAGAAATGCAGCTGTATTTCAGAACAATAGTCACTATTAGTTATTTAATATTAATAATATAAGCAAAGTAGTATATGGTATAGTGTAATGTAATGTAATATAAGTTTAGGTAAGTTATGATTGTGATTAAAAAACGATATTATTTTTAAAATATGTTTTATTTCTATATGTATTTTATAACATACATTCCTTTACATGTATCATGTATATAACATTTATTCTGAGTTGAGCAAAGAAACAAAGTATGTATCAATTAATTCTTGCCGATATTGCTGATCACTTTGAGTCGATGGAGGTGATGTTGTATTAATGTTTTCATCCAAAATGATGTTTAGGTTACTGGTAGAGTCATCGAGTAAAGCATCATTTCGGTCTACACATATGTTATGAAGAATTGCTGTGCTCACTATTATAGCTTGCACATTCTCCAATTTCACTCGCAATTTTGTGCCTATACAAGGAAACCTCCTCTTCCACACACCAAATGTCCTTTCAACCACATTCCTTGTTCGTATATGGCTTTCATTGTACAGCCTCTCAGCCTCAGTTTGTGGGTTGGCCAAAGGAGTCAGCAAATACTTTTTTAAGGCATAGCCTCTATCTCCTAAAAGACAGCATCTGCCAAACTTTTGAGATATCATTAAATCTTTGGCTGCACTGCTATTAAAAATTGTACTGTCGTGTACTGAACCCGGCCATCTAGCAACTAAATTTCTAATTTTTTGTTTTGAATCGACGATGGCTTGAGTATTTATAGAAAACACATCTTTTCTGTTCCTATACAATTCCGCATTATCTCCACCTGGGCTTGCAATACGTATATGGGTACAATCTATTGCACCAACAACACTTGGGAATTTTGCTATATTGAAAAAACTTTCAACGACATCTCCAGCCGTCTGAGGCATTGCAATAAAATATTTTAATTTTAAGCAAATGTGCCTTGATACAGCATGAATTATTTTGCAGGCAGTGGATTTTGAGACACCAGACAGATCACCGGAACATTGTTGCATATTCCCAGTGGCATAAAATCTTAAAGTAAGCAATAATTGCTCCATTGGCGTAACTGCATAATTTCTTTCAGTTGGTCTTTTTAACTCGTCTCCTATGTTTCTGATGATCCAAATTACACTTTCTTTAGATAGACGGTAGCGCTGACAAAAGTCTACTTCGTCCCAATGCCCCAGGGGCGGATTACGTGGTCTGAATACCTTTGGTCTTCTCATTAAAACATATTCCGCAACAATTTCATCATCAGATGAACTTTCTGAAATGTCGAAGTATCTCGTTATGTTTAAATTCATAATTAATAACACAGAAAATCTGTATTGTAACACTTTTCACTAAAATCCACACTAAAATCACACGAGCAAACAACACTGAGAAGTGAGAACAGCTGATAATGCGAGAGTTAACTAGCCGCCATCTTGCTAATCCCTTGTTGGAGCTGTGGTTAAATTTTGTGACCAATAGTTACTTATTTAACCACTGGTTGTGCTAACTATGGGTCAAAAAACGGATTTTACAAAAATTTAACCATTGGTCGTTATTTTTAACCATTGGTCGCCTTAACTACGGATCAAAAAACCGGCCCTAAGGATCATACTAGTGAGACCACTCCCTCCCTCCTACCGGCCTATGTCGAGGAAATAACCGACATCGATACTTTTGTCACGACGATACAAAAACTTTCTGACTGCATTACTAAAGCGGTCTCTGACGGCAAGTCTGTCACCGCCGCAAATAAGAGACTCATCAACCTAGCTGCCGAGGAGATCAGAAGGTGCGGGCATAAACTGACAAGCATGTCTACAGTGCTTGCCCCCACCCATAAACCCCCCCCCCCAGAGTAACATGAACAGCGACTTGAAGGCTGACATCGTCGCCTGTGTCAGGAGCGAGATGGCCAAACTAAAGGGCCAAATAACCACGCAGCTTCAACAGCAGGCACGGCCTGCCTCATACGCTCAGGCCGCTGCGACCAGAAGTGGGTCGGGCTCTCTTCCCAGCGTGACCACTATGCCACCAGTCCGCGGTACATCTAACAACAAGCCGGCCATCGTGGTGACTCCAAAGGTAATCCCCAAATCACGACAGGAAGCAATTGAGGCGTTTAAGAAGAGCATATCGTACCGCACAGCGAATTATGCACCAGCTAGGGTTCAGGCTGTGTCAAATCACAAACTTAGAGTGGAATTTGACACAACCGAACAACGTGACGACACCCTACAAAAGCTAAAATCGTCTAAGCACGTAAGCGTTGAGCCGGCTAAGGGACTGCGGCCAATGATTATACTAAAGGGTATATCCAAAGATATACCCAGAACCCAGAGTTGAAAGAGGCTTTTATTGAGGACGATGACATGCGCCTCCGATTTAGGCGTAGCAATAAAAACCCGGGGCTATACAACGCAGTGTTTCTTGTGGCACCCAAACTCTTTCGTAAATTCATTGAAGGGCAAAATCAGTGTTGACTACCAGCGACTACACATCAGCGAATTCTCACCCTTTCTGCAGTGTCACAGGTGTCTGCAGTTTGGGCACATTAAAAAGTACTGCACAGCCGCAATTAGTCAATGCTCGCACTGTTCCAGTAAGGAGCACACAGGCGAAAAATGTCCTGATAAGGGCAAATAAGGTACTGCCATATGTGCTAATTGTGCATCTCATAATGATAAATTTGGTACCAAAGCGGATGTCCGCCACTCTGCCATGTCACTGGAATGTCCAAAACTGAGAGCCATGAGAGAAAGAATAATTAACAGAATTGATTATGGATTTAATTAACAAAAATATAAAAATTATACAGTGTAACATTGATCGTTCAAAAAAGAGTTTACATGAATTTATTCTTTCTTTCACGGCAGGTGACTATCAAATTGCATTGCTGGCGGAGCCATATATTGGCTCAGGAAATGAGGTGCGACCAACTCAGGGACTCAACATACATCAATTTGGTGGAAAAGGTAAAGTTAAGGCGTGTATACTCACTAAACCAGGCTGCGGTCAGGTGATTGGTATCTCACAATACTCTAACTCAAATCTTTGCGTTATTCAATTCACAAGTGGCGGTCATAAAATACTCATAGCCTCCGCATATATCGAACCGGATTCAGACGAAAATAACACATTAGAGCATATAGATAATTTTCTCAAGATCTCCCGATGCCCAAATACCATCATTGGTGGTGACTTTAATGGATGGCACCATCTATGGGGCAGTAAGACCAATAACCCCAGAGGATTTGCGGTAGTGGAGCTGGCACATGCAAATGATCTCTTCGTTTGTAATGTCGGCACCTCACCCACCTTTGAAACCGTCACACACGGCAGGGATCGGACTTCTATAATAGACCTCACATTGGCCCATGGACACATATTTGACCGTGTAGTCGGGTGGAAGGTCAACCTCAACGCCTGCCCTTCATCGCAGCATAATGCGGTGGAATACGAGATTGCGACTGGTAATTCTTCCTTAAACTCCTCATCGATAACTAACTCCACGTTTAAGTACAAGAGCAACAAGGCCAATTGGGGAATATTCAAGGATGCACTCCACACGCTTATGACCAATACAGATATATTGGAGAGAGACATCGGATCGCTGAACACAGCTGGCTTGGAGAAATTGTTTGATGACATCTGCGGGATCATTCATAAAGCGTGTGAAGAATCTATGCTGACAAAGAAAGACCGATCCCTGACGAAGCATCGCCCGTTATGGTGGACGGAAAAACTGAAAGACCTCAAAAAAGAAGTCATCCAGTTACACCACAGACTAAACCGAATGAGACGTCGGAATCCTCCTCTAGACCAACTAGCAGGAGTTAAATAACAAAAAGGCAATATATGCGGAGGAACTGAGGGCGGAGTCTTCCAGGAGTTTTAGAGTTCTGCGAACTACAAACAAAAGAAAACGTTTGGACTCTCACGAATAGACTTCTGAAGGACACTGCACCCAAGCGGCCACCAGCCACCATAAAAATTGGTGACAATTACACCAGCAGCGAAACGGAGACGGCCCAAGCACTCCTGGATCACTTTTACGGTGATGATACACCAGATAATGACACGCACCAACACCAGTTCCAGAATCGGGAATGAGCCAGATGGAGTAGATGAACCCCCATTCGCTATCGAGGAGGTTTTGGAACATCTCAAATGGATGAATCCTAAGAAGGCACCCGGCATTGATGGTCTGACATCTGACATCTGCCTACAATTTACTATTAATTACCCAGAACTTATTACGGGAATCATGAACAGGTGTCTAGAGCTCCATCACTTTCCTCAGCAGTGGAAGAGAGCCGAAGTTAAAATCATACCAAAGCCAAGCAAGACTGATTATAGCGAATTAAGCTCCTTCCGCCCTATAGGACTCTTGCCAGTCTTTGGAAAATTGCTCGAAAAATTATACATTAAGCGTCTCACATATTGCGCAACCAAAGCGGGAATACTCAACGGGCGACAGTTTGGCTTCAAGGAACAAACCAGCACGATTACAGCTATAGATACGGCACTCAGTATCGTAAAGGCTGCTAAGGAGAATGGCAAACAGGTGCTGGGCGTTTCTTTAGACATCCGTTCCGCATTTGACAACGCGTGGTGGCCCGCACTATTCGAGAGACTACGTGCTATAAGATGCCCTAAGAACATCTTCCACTTAATAGAGAGCTATACGACGAACCACACAGGAGCGCGGGTTACTAAGAACAACACCAAGGGCTGCATACAAGGATCAGCGTGTGGACCCATTTTATGGAACGTGATACTGGACGAGTTGCTCGAGGCTGAACTTCCGAGTGGATGTCATTTGCAAGCCTTTGTGGATGATGTTTTACTTATCGTCTCCGCAAAGGATGTAAATACCCTACAAACAAATACCAATCGCGCTCTGGAAATCATATTGGAATGGGGGCAAAGTGTCAAATTGACATTTGGACCCACTAAGACGCAAGCCATTGCATTCACGCGTAAGGCTGAAGAAGCATACCTTATAATGGGGAGACACACTTTAGTGTTTCAAAGGAGTATTAAGTTCTTAGGCGTGATCATTGACCGAAAGCTTCTGTTCGCTGATCATGTTAAGTACGTTGCTGGGAAAGCTTTGCGAATTTTCAACAAACTATGCATTTACACCCGACCAACCTAGGGAGCCCATCCCGATAACGTACAAACCATCTATCGACAGGTCATTGAGCCTACAATTACATACGCAGCAGGTATCTGGGGTCAAGCGGCGAAAAAACGATATGTAAGGAAGCTCTTGGAGTCCGGCCCAAAGGGGATTTGCAATAAAGGCAATTAGGGTCTTTAGGACAGTCTCAACGGTGGCAGCGGTCGCTCTGGCTCAATTTGTGCCCTTGGACCTCACGGTCCTGGAGGTACATGAAATTGAGACAGTTCGACTGAAAGGGGCAACCAACTTAATACCAAGGGATATACAATATGAGAGGCCCACACCTGTGCATGAGTTATTACATCCGTCAAAGAGAATAAGTATTGAGTGTGCAGACCTGAATTCGGAAAATTTAGAACAAGAAAAAGCGCCTATTCGAATCTATACAGATGGAAGCAAGCTCGAGAATGGCGGTGTGGGAACGGCTTTCGTCTGTTTCGAAGGTTCAAAAGTTATATACAAAAAGAGGCTGAAACTACATACTAGCTGCTCTGTGTTCCAAGCGGAACTCTTGGCGATTAAAGAGGCTTGCGAGTGGACTTTGGACCGGAGATTGAAGCAAGGAGAAGAAAGACACCAAAGGGGCACCAAGGATGCACATGGGCTGCAAGGAGATTATACAGATCTTGAGTGACTCTCAGGCGGCACTGAGAGCGCTCCAAAAGAGATCTAACACCCACCCCATTGTGGCAAAGACTCATGACACAATATATGCAGCTGCTCAAGTGGATCTTATTTTCATGTTCTCATGGGTTAAGGGCCATGCGGGCGACGCAGGTAACGAAATTGCTGATGAGACAGCCAAAGGCGCTGCCACGCAACACAAAACCCCTGACTACGCGAAGTTCCCTATGAGCTTTGTAAACTACTATGAGGGAAAAAACCTGGAGAACTTGGCAGACAAGATATGAAAGCGCGGAACAAGGAGCGCGCACAAAAGAATTACTCCCAAAACTGACGGATATTTGTGCACTATGGAAAGCAACCAAAGTATCATTTCAATTAACGCAGGCTTTAACAGGTCATGGCTTTGAATAAAACTATTATTTACGGATTTTATCGCGTTTAATTACTTTAATTTATTTTTATTATTATCCCGACGTTTCGGGTGCTTTACAGCGCCCATGGTCACGGGGGGGACTGAGATGTTTGACGTCCCAATGTCATAGTTAGTCCGGCTACCTTCAGTTTTTTTAATATTAAATTTTGGTCCGATTTACGCAAAACGAGCTTGTAGTATCATGAAGTCTTGCAGTGGTATGCTTGGGTTTGGGTTTAATTTTGTTAATTATAGGATCCCAAGCAGATGGTAGCACCCAACCATCTTCTCTATTGAAATTTGGATGTTTTTTAATTTCAATAGCCTCGCGTATCATCCTTGGTAGGAATCGGTGTTCTTTTGCGAGAATTTGTGGTTTATCAAATCTAATGTAATGGTGGGGACGATCTTGAACATGTTCGCAGACTGCAGACTTCCCGGAGCGTCGGTGCTTCACATCAGCTATATGTTCCTTCACGCGGGTTTTTATAGATCTCTTTGTTTGACCTATGTAAGAGAGACCACATTCACAATCTAGCTTGTACACACCTGCATCTTGTAGAGGAATATTACATTTGATAGATGGTAAAAATTGACTAATCTTCTTCAGCGGCTTGTAGTATGTCTTAATGGACGCTCGCTTCAAGATGTAGCCAATCTTGTCCGTGACTCCTCTAACATATGGTAGTAGAGCAGGCGCGCGCTCGACTGTGGCCGGCTTCACTCGTTCACTGTGACGTAGGCGCGGGACCCGAAGCTTGTTGTCTTGCAATACTTGCTTGACGTGCTGAAGCTCCGCGGCCAGATGTTTTCTGTCACAGATCCCTCGTGCTCTCTGAAACAAAGATTTACCCACGGTAGCTAACTGTGAAGGATGATGGTGAGATTCACCATTTAAATATCGGTTGGTATGGGTCTTTTTCCTATACACAGTGTGACCAATAGTGTTATCAGGATTACGGATGACTAAAACATCTAGGAAAGCTAAAGAATTATTTGCCTCTAACTCCATTGTGAATTGTATTTTAGAGTTTATGGAGTTAAGGTGGTCTAAAAATGCAGTTACTTTGTCAGATGGTAAAATTGTGAAAGTGTCATCTACGTACCGCTTGTAGAACCTTGGATTTACAGGAGCAGTAAGAAGGGCTTTCTCCTCAAAGTCCTCCATGAATATGTCGGCGACTATGGGAGACACAGGTGAGCCCATCGCTACACCATCTACTTGCTTGTAGAACTCCTCCTTCCACAATAGATAGCCAGATGTGAGGCAATGTTCAAGTAGTATTGCATATTCTTGAGGCATGTTATTTTCTTCTAGCTTCCTAGTTACAATTGAGATGCAGTCCACAATAGGTAGGCATGTAAATAGTGACTGAACATCAAAACTGACCATAGTTTCATTGTTAGCGAGATGTAGGTCTTTTATCTCACTCACAAAATGGTATGAATCCTTTGTGTGTGCTCTGGTATGTCCTCTTAGTGGTGATAGTATTTTTGCTAAGTATTGTGCCAGCTTATAAGTTGGTGAATCGATCTCGCTCACTATGGGACGTAGTGGAGCGTTTGGTTTATGTATCTTCGGTAACCCATACAACCTACCTACATCTCGCTAACACTGAAACTATGGTCAGTTTTGATGTTCAGTCGCTATTTACATGCCTACCTATTGTGGACTTCATCTCAATTATAACTAGGAAGCTAGAAGAAAATAACATGCCTCAAGAATATGCAATACTACTTGAACATTGCCTCACATCTGGCTATCTATTGTGGAAGGAGGAGTTCTACAAGCAAGTAGATGGTGTAGCGATGGGCTCACCTGTGTCTCCCATAGTCGCCGACATATTCATGGAGGACTTTGAGGAGAAAGCCCTTCTTACTGCTCCTGTAAATCCAAGGTTCTACAAGCGGTACGTAGATGACACTTTCACAATTTTACCATCTGACAAAGTAACTGCATTTTTAGACCACCTTAACTCCATAAACTCTAAAATACAATTCACAATGGAGTTAGAGGCAAATAATTCTTTAGCTTTCCTAGATGTTTTAGTCATCCGTAATCCTGATAACACTATTGGTCACACTGTGTATAGGAAAAAGACCCATACCAACCGATATTTAAATGGTGAATCTCACCATCATCCTTCACAGTTAGCTACCGTGGGTAAATCTTTGTTTCAGAGAGCACGAGGGATCTGTGACAGAAAACATCTGGCCGCGGAGCTTCAGCACGTCAAGCAAGTATTGCAAGACAACAAGCTTCGGGTCCCGCGCCTACGTCACAGTGAACGAGTGAAGCCGGCCACAGTCGAGCGCGCGCCTGCTCTACTACCATATGTTAGAGGAGTCACGGACAAGATTGGCTACATCTTGAAGCGAGCGTCCATTAAGACATACTACAAGCCGCTGAAGAAGATTAGTCAATTTTTACCATCTATCAAATGTAATATTCCTCTACAAGATGCAGGTGTGTACAAGCTAGATTGTGAATGTGGTCTCTCTTACATAGGTCAAACAAAGAGATCTATAAAAACCCGCGTGAAGGAACATATAGCTGATGTGAAGCACCGACGCTCCGGGAAGTCTGCAGTCTGCGAACATGTTCAAGATCGTCCCCACCATTACATTAGATTTGATAAACCACAAATTCTCGCAAAAGAACACCGATTCCTACCAAGGATGATACGCGAGGCTATTGAAATTAAAAAACATCCAAATTTCAATAGAGAAGATGGTTGGGTGCTACCATCTGCTTGGGATCCTATAATTAACAAAATTAAACCCAAACCCAAGCATACCACTGCAAGACTTCATGATACTATAAGCTCGTTTTGCGTAAATCGGACCAAAATTTAATATTAAAAAACTGAAGGTAGCCGGACTAACTATGACATTGGGACGTCAAACATCTCAGTCCCCCCCGTGACCATGGGCGCTGTAAAGCACCCGAAACGTCGGGATAATAATAAAAATAAATTAAAGTAATTAAACGCGATAAAATCCGTAAATAATAGTTTTATTCAATGTGTAGTGTTCGCGTAAATTTAAGAAATCATTATAGGTCATGGCTGCCACAAGGAATATCTGCATAGATTCAAAATCGCTGCCGATCCATTCTGCCCCTGTGACAATACCACTACTCAAACGTTAACCCATTTGTTGAGGGAGTGTCCTAGATTTGAGTACAATAGACTAAGACATGAGATGCTTTGTAGCAATCTACGTATATCACCGTACTGTGTAACGGAACTTTCAAATAAACAAAGTGCTACTGAATCCTTCGTTACATTTATTAATCACATCATAGATAAGCTTAAAGGATTCAATAAATTGTAAATAATTTAAACTAATAGACATAGGATATAAATTGTGCATAAACTTTCTAATAACTTTTATAATTTAAGTTAACATATATAATTATCACTCCTCCTTTCAAACTTTATCTTTGTTCTTAAGAACACAATATGTAAATCTAAGATTATTCTAATAATAATAATAATAATAAAAAAAACTCTATAAGGCTATGTACAACTTCTCTATAATTCTCTTTTATATGCTAATCACGTTCGCACGATTCGTTGTATACATTATTTTGGTTATAAGACATTAGCTTTAATCATTGTTAATGTTACGCGCTCCAGTCAACGATACACTAGCGCCATCTAGTGTCAGGAACGAGAGCGAGGGGAGCATTGAGAAAATGACATCACAAATTACTCAACCGACAGCGCCTAGTCGAAACTCGAACGCTCGGTACCTTCCGCGTGTTTACTTGAACATTCTGGATATTTCTTTGCTAATTTAAATATATAGGCGCTGCAAGATGCGATGGAGGCAGTGTTGATTTGGGCGAAACAAGCGAAGCTTCGGAGTGGAATTAAGTGAATTAGTGTGTTTAAATTATTAGTGTTTTAACTCTAATTGTGTAAAGTAAATTAAAGTGTTAATTTAGGTAATTTTATCGGCAATTTTTATCGTCACGAACCTCAAGCTCGTAACAATTGGTGTCAGAAGTGGGATAAAATCATGCCGATTTTACCTAAGGAGGAAACGGAGGGTGTCCGTACCCGAAATCAACGCCAGCAGGAGACGGACCAAAGAAGATTTGGTGGTGCAACGCCGCTGACGTCGGAGGGCCAGCCGCCGGCTGCAGGCCCGTCAGTAGCTCCTCCATCTGCAGCACCCGATTTAGGTGCTCTGATGGTGATGCTGCAGGAACAGGCTCGCCGACAGGAGGAACAGGTCCGTCGGTTGGAGGAGCAGCTGCGGGGTGGACAGGATGAACAGGCTCGTCAGCAGGCGGAACAGGTCCGTCAGTTGAAAGAGCAGCTGCAGAGCGGACAAGAGGAACAGGCCCGCCGACAGGAGGAACAGATGCTTCTCATGAAGGACCTTCACGCTACCTTCGGGAAAGAGATAAGGGAGGTGAAAGATAAGGTTGCTCAACATGAAAACCGCCTGTCGGAAGCTGAAACCCGAATTGACCTAGTGAACAATCGGGTTGACAACGTAATGGCTGACATGAGGAAATCACTTGACGAACTCAAACTTGGCGAGGGAACTTCAGTTCCCGTAGTAGCTACTACACCTTCGCT